CCCAGGGATCTCTGTCACAAATTTCTGCTGCTAGCAGAGGCGAATACATTAAGAGGAATAGAGACATGTGGAATTCTCTGTGGAAAACTGGTACAGTTTAACTTTCACATTTGTATGGGAAGACACTCTTCCTTTTCTCTAAGTTACCTTGTCAATGTTTGTTTTACAGACACACAACGAATTTACTATTACCCATGTAATAGTGCCAAAGCAATCTTCAGGACCAGACTACTGTGACATGGAGAATGTAGAAGAATTATTTGGTATTCAGGATCAGTTTGACCTCCTCACTTTGGGTTGGATACATGTATGTATGACAGATTCTGGCTTTCCTGTATCAGTTCTGCTGATAGAACAGATATTATGTTTAACCAACCCTGGAAATGACAAGCCAAAGAAATAACTGGCAAAATTCAAATGAATTTCTTTGCTTAATTCTAATCATAATGATATAAATAAACATTGATATTCTACCCAGGTAACGAATATCTCTTGATTAATGAAGTTGAGGCACATTGTTTACACTATAAGGCCTGCTTTTGCCAGTGCAACTTTTGTTTCATTTTGGGGACCTTTAATTACTTAACGCCATCTATTTTCCACTGTATTAAAAATCCATTAAAAAAAATCTGAGGGTATTGCACTGATTGAATTCATTATTAATTATTTGAATTTCATTCTAGAGATTTTTGAGCAGTAAAGTAATTTCCCTTTTATCTTGTACTTCTTCATTCCACTTCTTTTCCCCCATAATTGAAAAACGGTTTGTGTATCTGCTTGAGATTATGTCCCATGAACTTCACACTGAGAAGCCACCCTAACAACCAAGAATTTGTGTTAATAAGAAGATGCCAACCTGGGGAAACACCAATGCTTTTACTTGTTAAAAATTATTGTTCTTTCTTGAATGCATGTTGTCCCTGGCTTTCAAGAAATATTTCACGATACTGAATTTTCCTTCTTTTTGTAGACACATCCAACACAAACTGCATTCTTATCCAGTGTTGATCTTCATACTCATTGTTCTTATCAGCTCATGTTACCAGAGGCCATTGCAATTGTTTGTTCACCAAAACATAATGAGTGAGTTCTGATTTTTCTAAGTAATATGGTGATATATTTCCCTACTCCTTATCTTAAAATGGGATCAAATGCAAACAGCACACGTCAGCTGGGATGATGGACAGGAACGAGTGTATTGTGAGTTTGTTTTCTTTAATCTATTTAGACTTGCATTCCAGTCAGTTGGTAAGTACAGTATTTTTTCTGACTTCTTTTTCCTCCTCCCTTCCCAGCTCCAGGTTTTAAATTTTGATTTATTTTTATACTCTGCTCAAACAAGTACTAATGACAGGAGCTGTTTCTGTAGACTTCATTGCCAGTGGCCTACCACAGACCTATCTTCCTTCCATCTGAAGGAGGAAATGGAAGGTTTAGACATACTTCTATAGGATAGTATGAAAGCTTCTGTTTTGGGAATAGATTGGTAAAGGTCACTCTTTGCCTAATCAGGTTCTATTTTCTTATTTCATAAAATACAAGCAGCAAGAACCTAGTAAAAATTATAACTGTAAGAAAAAATGAGAAGGTTTATAATGTTAGAGGTTGTCCAGAGACACTGTTAGAACTCTGTACTCAGAACCTGAGTGGATATGGTCCTAGACAGCCTGCTTAATGTGACTCTGCTCATACAGGGAGGTCAGACCAGGTGATCTTCAGAGGTTCCTTTCAATTTCAACAGCTCTGAGATTATTGTTTGGTTCATTTGACATTTCAGGGCCCCTTGTTTAACTCTGATATTTAGACTGTGCATTTTTTTGAGACTGTCTTTCTGGCCTTCTGCCTCCATAGATAACTTCTATGAATCCCATTCTAGTTGGCCAGCTTTTTTTATGAGCCGTTCAGGTAGCAGAGCTGTAAATACAGCTGGAGTAGTAAGTGCACAAGAGCTATGCAGCAGTGTCTGCATACTTTCTCCAATCTCTGTAGTCTCATAAACTGCATAGCCTCTGCTGGTACCCTGTAACCAACTCTAACCTGTTACTCCTGTCTATAACATTAATTAATCTGGTGTCATCTTGTAGTTATTAGGTTACTACTGTTTCTTGGTGAAAATAAGTACAGTTTAATGGGAGTCCAGGGTATCAGAGGTGACTGAGAACCATCCCACTGTCCTTCTGTTGTTTGTGAATTTCTGTACTTGCATTACACAGACATTGCATAACAGTAGTTCCATGTTTGCTTTCCAGTACTGGCATCTTCAGACTGACTAATGCTGGCATGCTTGAAGTTTCTGCTTGTAAAAAGAAGGGATTTCATCCACATACAAAGGATCCCAGGTTATTTAATGTAAGTATATGATCCAACATGTTTTTGATTAGTTGAGTTCTTGTGCATAGCCCTGCAAGTAGAAATTACACCTGCTGCACTTTAGTTTCCTTTACTTTTCTCCTATCCTAATAACTCTATCACCAACGAAGGCAGACATCAGGACTTAAGTAGCCAGTAGCAGCCATGAGACTTTTGTTATGCTCTGTCATTCAAATAGCACCTAATTACAAGCAGCTACCATCAGTCACCATGTTTGTCCTACAAAGCAGCAGAACTGCTTCTGACAAATTCTTTGCAACACCACGCAAAATACTGTTAGGAATACCAATAGTCATAATGCAGAGAAAAAAAAAGTTGACTCACCTAGCAGGTGGTGAGGAGTTCTGACTGGGGGACACTCTGTCTCACAAAGTAGCTTTCATCCAGCAGATCATCTCCTTTCTGAGGCTACTCCTTCAATGAGCCCGGGGGACCCAAGGCCCACCCCTTCCAATCAAGAGGGAAGCACAGGTGAATTGCTTGCACCTGTGCTCTCTGAGTCAGCTACCTGCACCCCTTCACCACGTGCTCCATCATCACATCAGGCCGCAACATAACAGTTCCTCTACACACCACTTACTTTCAGAAATAAAAGCCACAATTTCAATAGGAGTCGGTCCTAAGCTCTCCGGTTTTTAACAAAAATAAATTAGCTCATCTCCCCCACTGTGTCATTTCAACACAGCATTCCAGCTGCTGAACCCTTCATTTTCCATTTTTTCTACATTCTCATAGGCTTTTTTAACTAACTATTGTTTCCTTTTGATGTTTTAGTAGCATAGCATGCTATGCATATGGCTCAATGGCACAGTCATTCAGAATTATCAGAATGTTACTGCTATCTGGAAAAAAAAAACAATTGTCTTTATATCTGAATAATTAAGATATTTTAAATGGGGCTCATGTCAAATACAAAATAGTTTATACCTCTGGCTCAAAATAAATAACTGAAAGACTTTAAACATTACTTCTTTGTTGTAGGACTCCCATAATATCAGTACTGCTCAAAAAGTAAGAGAGTTTGGGTTCTCTATTTTGCTTTATTCCTTTATCACTGACTCTAGGGGGATTGAGAAGGTAATCCAAGTCTGAAACAAAATCTTAAGGATTTTGTTCCAGATAAACTCTTTTCAGTGGTCCTTTATTGACCTAGTTCATGAATGAAGTTTCCAGGTACTCAAACTGATAAACATTAGACACATTGCTCCTATGTTGAACACAAAACATCCTGTCAAATACAATTCCCAAAACACATTAATCTTCCAACAAGAACAGTAAGAGCACAGCATTTTTTTCCCGGAGGAAAAATATCAGAGGTGCTAATACAGGAAGCTTCCTGAAATCTGACTGGAACAACCCTTATGTGCGTCTGTCTGATTTACAGCAAAATCTCTTCTCCACACATCCAACATATGCTCTTATTTAGTCATGGCTGTGTCTAAAGACACAGTCCTAAATGCTTCAAAAAACACACAAAAAATATATGGGCAGACACATCTGAAACTTCTGCAGGATGAGAGCAGAGTTCAAGCTTCCCTTGCCTCTGTCCTCCATGCACATGTTCTAACACAGCACACAGCTCCTTCCTCCTTTTCAGGTATCCACTGCTGGGATATGTAAAGGATCACACTGTACTATGCTCTGTGTCACAACCAAACATGAAGAAATTTCCTCTACAGAAATTTATTTCTTTTTCTATATTACAATCCTTGCTTTATACAGCAGTCTACAGCTGTGAAGACAAGGTTTGTCTGTGAACAGGTGCAGTGATAGGCAGGCTTAAGGCTGAATATATAGGCAAACTATTAGGCAGGCTCAGGAAGGAAAAGTCTGAAATATGCTATTAATTTCCTGAAAATGGTTTCTGAATAATGTACTTTCTTTCACAGCCATGCACCCATGTGGTTGGGAAGGACATAAAGATAACTGTGCTGGATCTGAGGTGATACAGATGGACAGTCGCAGTGTTGCTATAAAAGTGGCCAAAAAAGAAAAATGGCTTCCTGTTTTTCTTATGTTTTCAGAAACGACTTTTATATTTATACATTTTAGATTGAATGGTTTGGTATTTATTGCTTTTGCCTGTTTTGGAGTTACTTTGTTGCCCTGTCAAGATGGAATTCAGTGGCATTACCTGAAACTGTAGATGTATCATCTCACTAAAAACAACAATAAAATGTACTTCAAGCAACAGTAACAACATTGAAATAAATAATGCTCCTTTTGTAATTTGTTGTTGTTACCTGAGAATTACAGATATTTTTAACAGTGGTTGGCTTTTGATGACTTCCAGCTACGTAGATGTATTCACAGCTTCTTTGAATTTACATTGTATGTAGCAATGTAGAGGCAAACACATCAATTCAGGGATTTGTTTTCATCCTTGCATAGCTCACGTTTATGCTAAGTCATTAACATAATTAAATCCTTCACCTGAGTTCTGACCGTCATTGCATCCTGGAATAGTAGAGAAGAATCAGCCTTTTGGATAACTATGTTTTTTCCAGCAATTCTCTAGATGAAACTTCTATGTTAAATCAAGCTCTTATCCTGACAGTGATTTCCTGGATGTGGCTAGAGTTAGGCAAAAAGATCTATCTAGAGTAAGAAGGAAGAACCATACGAAGGTATTTGCTCTTACAAGAGTTTATTTAGCGTCTGTCCCAAGAAACCTAGATGACCTAGACTTTAAATAATAAGGTTAGTACAAAAGAGTTCAGAATGTGCACTGAGTCTGAAGACGGACAAGATCTGAAACCTAGCAGTTACGCAGCCATAGTAAATAACAGGTGCTGCTGCAAAAAACTTACAGGTTGAAAGGTAAAGCGTTACAGGTAGGTGAGATAAATAATTGAGTTTAAGGAAGGAAAATAAGTAACAAAAATAAATAGCATCCTTCATCCTGAATTCTAATGAATACGGATTGCAGCAAGGTCCTTAGAACTGACCTTCTTCAGATCTGTCTCAATTAATTCTTTGGTCATAAACATATTCATATATATGTATATATATACTTCTAAGACAGCAGTATTGGCTTCAATGCTTATGCATATACTTCTCTTAAAATCAGTTTCAATGTATTTAAGACAATAAGTGGAATCAGAAAAGTCATAGAAAAAAGGACATTGTCTAAAAACATTTTATCTGTTCTGATTACATTACATCCTCCCCTTCAGAAAAACAAACAAACTTCTGAAGAGCAATTGTATTAAGCCAGCTTAATTACCCTTTAGACTTTGCTGAAAATCACAACAACAACACAAGCTACACTCATTCTGAGGATATATAATAGCAAAGTCACCTTTTCAAGCTAGTATCAGAATTTAGATATGCTCCCAGAAGGACAGTTTTAGCTTCTATCAAAAATAAAACCAAAGAAAACAACCATGGAAAAGATATAGCAAGCAACATACGCTACTGGACCACAGAGTATAAGAAGTGCCTTTTCCAGCATGGTAGCTGTGAACTGAGAAGCGATGTGGTCAGATAGTATTTCTGGATAGAGCAGATGCAAAGCAGAATGCACGTGCTCCTCCTGGTATCAAGCACACACTGTGCCCCTCTGGTGCTGCCCAGAACTTTGGGAGCACCATGACTAGTTCTGCTTGCAGACTGAAATGCCTACCGAGGCCGAATGCTGGCACCGTACAGGCTGGCAGCTGGGCGTTTTCTGGCGTTGATACCATTGGCCAACATGTACCGCTTCTGAGCCCACAGCGCAGTAACAAATTTACGCCACGAGATGGAGCTTCGCACCAGCTGTAAAGGCAACTCCACAACTGCATCTCTAAAATAGGAGCAGCAATTTCGTTTGCATATTTTAAAATTTATTCCAAAAAAAAATACACCAATTAACCAGCCATTACGATGAAAGATTTATGGAATGAAATTTTAAGAATGTATTTTCCTGAATACATTCACAGTAATATGCTAAAAAGACATACAGGGATAAAGTGATTTAAAAGCATTTGCGGTGAACAATGGATGGGCCAGCTTCATCATATTCCTGTTTGCTGATCCACATCTGCTGGAAGGTAGAGAGGGAGGCAAGAATAGAGCCTCCAATCCAGACGGAGTACTTACGTTCAGGAGGAGCAATGATCTGTTTGAGAAATAAAACCATTAAATGCAACATTAAGCTATGAATTCGTTGTACAAAACTATTAAAGCATTGCTACTTTGTATTAGTGAAAAACACTGTACATATGCACTAATGTCTGCCCTTGCCTTGCAGTTAGCCACTGCAGCAAGCCATAGTTACAAAGTTGTTGCCTGAGCCTACACCCTTAATTCCTCTGGTTGAGTTAGCCTGCCCAACACAGCAACGTGTGTGTGTGTGCAGTCCTATCCACAAAAGACAAAAGGGGAGACAACCACTCTCATAGCATGAGACAAATATATAATGGTAGCCCAGGGGGGCTTGGAAGAATGAATGACGTTCCTATTAGTGCAGCTGACAAAATGTTTGCAAAGAAAGGAAGGGGAGAGCTGAAGCAACAGAAGGATTAATAACTTGTTAGAATCTTTTTCTTTACTTGTAAGCCAAAGACAGAAGCAGCATTTTCTACATCTAATTCCATTAGCCAAAAATTACTGAACAAGCTGCAGGTCTACAAAAATGTACATTGGTTGATTCCATGCTATTCTTCTTTGGCCTTGCTAAGTCAGTTTGCAGAACACAGCATGAGAAAGGAAGTGAGAGGAGTGAAGGCTCCTTTCTTCTTTTAGCAGCCAGGGTGACTCATCCAGTTACCAGGGATGATTTAGTAGAACATACAGACTCGACTGAAAATATGTACAAAGCACTTTGTAAAGAGTTGTTATTTTCTGTTAGATTTTTTGAGGATTTTTTACATGTCCCCCCAAATAGTTTACGAATAATTGCACTGTACCTTGATCTTCATGGTGCTGGGAGCTAGAGCAGTTATTTCCTTTTGCATCCTGTCTGCAATGCCCGGGTACATTGTAGTGCCTCCAGAAAGCACATTGTTGGCGTAAAGATCCTTTCTGATGTCTATGTCGCACTTCATGATGCTGTTGTAAGTGGTTTCATGAATGCCAGCAGACTCCATGCCTACAGAAATGACAGCAGAACACTGAGGAAGCAACTCCATACAGAGACTTAAAATTGTCTCTGAACAGACAATGTGAGCTGCAGTTTTTCTTTGGAAGACAACAGTTTTTAAGGTTGCAGAAACATGGAAAGTCATTCTGCAGCTGTTTGAATTATTTACTTAGGAGCTCCTTCAGGTACAGCTCTCCCTCCCCACACCCGTATGTACAGTCAACTCCTCATTAAAAAGAAAATCCAGGGGTACGGAGTAGTACAGTTTCCAATAGGCTTTTCCAGACAACCTCATACGTCCCAAGAATTCCTTATATGGTCCTGGAATCATCTGTTTTCTTTTTCATACTTTTTTTTCTCCTCTTTTTTTTTTTTCCCCTTCTTTCTGAGTCAGTTCAGAGATCAAACAGTCAAAATATGTCCCAAAACCTCTAAGTATGCAGCTACTTAATCTATTTCTGGGCTGACATTCTATCAAACAAGATTTTTAAGTGACCTTGCTGAAAGCTTACCTCCATGACCATTGATTTGTTCTGCAAATGTGACGGACCCTGGATTCAGATTTTGGGGGAGTCTTTCAGTAGAATAAAAATAGTGCATTTTGTCTGTTTGTTTTTTAACCCCTCTCTGCAAGCACACTCAGACTATAACCCTCATAATATTTAGAAAACTTTTTCTGCAGCCAAAATTTTCATAGTAACCAATACATGATGTACAAAATGGTGTGGGCTCAAAGCCAGAAATAAACACTCAGGGTTTATTTTGGGAAAGCATTTTGCTTTACTGTTTGACATAAATTTCCTCCCAGTGTATTAATAGTGCTGTTCTGAAAGATTATTTTATAATGGGCACTGGAACATACTTGAGTATACATCTAAATGAGCTAGCAGTGGGATAAAATCAGAAGAAAATAGAGACCCAGTATTTATACCAAAGCATAACAGTCATTCTACCTACCAATGAAAGATGGCTGGAAGAGAGTCTCTGGGCAGCGGAAGCGTTCATTTCCAATGGTGATGACCTGGCCATCAGGAAGCTCATAGCTTTTTTCCAGAGAGGAGGAAGAGGCAGCAGTGGCCATCTCATTTTCAAAGTCCAGGGCCACATAACACAGTTTCTCCTTGATGTCACGGACAATTTCACGTTCCGCTGTTGAGAAGATTCAGCTTTTAGAATGGCACTCAGCCACACCTTCATTCTCCAACATCCTCTCCATTTTTATGCAGATATTCTCTGCCAGTCCTGCAGAGAAAGTACTTTTTCCCTGTTGAATTCTTTCTTGTTAATAAAACAACTGCAGAACCATTGCTATTCCTTCTAAGGCAGCTAGAAACGTTGCACATTAAACAACTCCCCTCCTTGTCTAGCAGTGCATCCTTACCAGTTGTAACAAAGGAGTAGCCACGTTCTGTCAGGATCTTCATGAGGTAGTCTGTCAGGTCACGGCCAGCCAGGTCCAGACGCATGATGGCGTGTGGCAAAGCGTAACCTTCATAAATGGGCACGTTGTGGGTGACACCATCCCCAGAGTCAAGCACAATCCCTTTGAGAAGATAACACACAGTTCATGCTCAGGTGCTCACAAACAACTGCTTTGAACACCAGTGCCACCCCCAGAGGCCTACCTGTGGTACGTCCTGAAGCATATAGGGACAGAACAGCTTGGATAGCTACATACATGGCTGGCACGTTGAAAGTCTCAAACATAATCTGAAATGCAATTAACATAATTAGCTTAGCAGTAGGGATTTTAGATTAGTTGTATCATTACAACAAAGGAAAGGGAAAATACAAGATTTTTGTATTTAGTGATGGCAGTAACAAGGAAGGAAAATACATTTAAATCAAACATATTATCCTTTAAGACCCCTCTGTATCTGATCTACATCTACGATGTATCAATACAGACACATTAAAGATCATTGTGTAGTAGGCCTGGAAACACACACACACACAAAAAGATGAAAGTGGCAACACTTGGACAGACTGGAGTTCTCACATCCAAAACTGATTCACAGACTTTTTCAAGTAAATGTAGTAACGTAGACATCTGACACATAGTCATGTGCACTTTCTATCTTCCCTTACTATGAGATGCACACTACAGAACAGCCAAATTGTCGTGGCTAACTGAAATGTTGATGTTCACATCCTGCTGAATTCACAACGTTGGAATTATTCCACAGCTGTAGGGTGAGATTACCTGGGTCATTTTCTCTCTATTAGCTTTGGGATTCAGTGGTGCTTCAGTCAGCAGAGTTGGGTGCTCCTCAGGTGCAACACGGAGCTCATTATAGAAGGAGTGATGCCAGATCTGAGGATAATGGCAGAAGGCAAAGAAGAAAAATACCATCAACTAGCAGCTCAGGATGACTTTCAGACAGGTTTAATGCTCCAGCACTCTGCTTATAGCACTTTTGAGACCAGTGAGTAATGTTTCACATGCAATCGTTCTTACTGCCTTCATAGAAATAACCAAGGTAACTGGAAACACTCAATCCTCAGGTTAGAAATATCGCAGCTAACGATAAGTGATTTCTTCAAAGGGCACACAAATCAATGAAAATAAATATAATCTTACAATAGGAGAGAGAGATGCACAGGCTTAATTCCAGTTTGCTGCTAACAAGCTTCTCATTAAACCACACCTGACAGTGTGACACTTTCATCTAAAATTTACTAAGTTATGTGTTAAACATTCAGTTCAAGTGATTGTCTACCAATGATGCACATTATTTTAATACTGATGTACCTTCTCCATGTCATCCCAGTTGGTAATGATGCCATGCTCTATGGGGTATTTCAAGGTCAGGATTCCTCTCTTGCTTTGAGCCTCATCACCCACGTAGCTGTCTTTTTGACCCATACCAACCATCACACCCTAAAAAATAACATAAATAGAGTTAGTATCTCAAAGAGAGGTGTCACAAAGCAGTTACATTAGCTTAGATAAATTCAATTGCCAGTGATACTAATTACAAAACACTTTATAAATACTAATGATCGGAGAATTAATTGTTCCTTAATTTTCAAAATGAAATGTTTAGCCAATTCAAACCTCAAGTTCATTTTTCCACTACAATTAAAATAAACAGCACACAAGTACAATTTTTGTATGATGTTAAAATGCATGCACACACAAGAAGCACAATGTCAAATTCATCCAGATGAAGTAGAATGATAGACTTGTTTTAATGTTCTTTATTAGTTAGGGATGACCTGTCTGCTGAAAGAAAGCAGAAAGGGGACATTGTGCCATCTAAGGGCCACGATGCAACAATACACAATTCAGATTTTCCAAGTGTGTGAGTCAGAAGTTGGAAACTACTCTGGATGTACAGTAGTCTCTATGCTTTGAGTTAGAAATATTGTTAAAAAAGTAGTATACTGCAGGATGCTTTGACTACCTAACACTCTTACCAGAGCTTAAGTCATTTTATGTTCCAAACCTTGGCTTCTCTAACAAGTCATATCGTATTTTTCTACTGTGATTGTATGATTTATTTTTGAGCAATTAATATAATTAATCCCATCTACAAAAGATGACACTTGAATTTTTTTTTTTTATTATTTTTTTTTACTGTGGTATTGTTCAAACACTTCAGTTAGACCTCCTAGAGGCTATATCAAAAGGCCTATATTCCACTTGCCTTCAATGGCTTGAAAAATTATTAGCTGGGTGCATAAAGTGCCACATCTTACAGCCAGTCTCTCTCTTCTCATTTCAACATGTCCTTAGGTGACACAGAAGAAATAAGTTGGATTTTAAAACCCAGCAGCCAGTTTAGTCTGTTATGGACTAGCTAAGCTGCTCTAGATCTCACTAATGTTGATATGGCTTAGCAACCTTGTATTTAACAACTCAGCCAATAAATACACTTTGCAAACTATTAAAATTATTGGGAATGTATCATATGCTCAAATGTAAAACTTGAAGCTAAAAAATAAAAAAAAATAGAAAAAATCAGCCCTAGAAACCCCAGAGAGGTGTCTGGCTGTGACACAGTTAAAAGAAGAAGTAAGGTTGACAGGAAGCAGACTGACAACTTCTCCCCTCAGTTCCCTGCACATCATCTGTTGTCAGTTTTAGGGCAGTCAAAAATTCCAGATACTTCTCTGGGATTGCTTACTTTTAAACTGGCTGTACTCACCAAGTTCTCTGGGTGATGCAAAGTACAGAGAGAAGAGAGCATAGAAAGAAGTGAAAAAAAAACTTGTGAGAGAAGGATTCCTCTCTCACAAGGCTGAAGATCTGCTTTGACTCAGGTGAGTGCACTGCTGGACATATTTTACCTATAAATACCACATTACACAGATCATTCAGGGCTCAGTTAGCCTCAGCTCTGGGATGGAGGGTTGGGGACGGTGCATGTCTCCAAGCTCAGTATGGAACAACCGAAGCACTTTATCACCTGGTGCCTGGGACGACCCACGATGGAAGGGAAAACTGCTCTTGGGGCATCGTCCCCAGCGAAGCCGGCTTTACAGAGCCCTGACCCATTGTCACAAACAAGGGCAGTGCTGTCCTCCTCCTCACACATCTTCTACGTCAGTGTCCTCGGGTGCTCCAAGCAGAAAACAGCCCTATGAAAACAGCAGGAAAAGAATAATTGAAAAAGACAAAGTGAGGTACCAGAACCACCCTGTAAGACAGAGAATGCAGTATAAAAGGAACTGACACACAGGAGGGCTCCGTGCATCAGACATAATTCAAGATATTCCATAGAACTATTCCAGTCCTGCTGCATGGGCAGACAGGTCATTACAGCTCTGAGACAGCAAATGTTTATCTAAATTCCATCACGGAAATCCACCTCTGGGGAGTAGGTGGGAGATAAAGAAGATCGCTGGACTGACAGCTGCAAAAACAAAGGTCCCTTTGCATCATATTCAGCATGATGTCCCCTGCCTCTATCATCCTGACAGGAATGGTGCATGTAGAAAGATGACATCGTGACTTTAAAATGCAATCAAGGACAGCATGTGTTTTAAAACTGCCCATAGTATGTGCTCCATCATCATTTCAAACCAGTTAGTAAGCTCCATTTGTAGAATGACAGAGTAATTTATGCTGGCTCCTTGCTTCACTAAAACAGAAATTGTTTTTCTCCTCAGGCAACAGGAAGATAACAAGGGTAATAAAAATGCTTTGAAGGTTTGTATTAAAATCAATTATGGAACAAGCCCTGAATACTGGCACTCGAGAAGAACTATTTGCCCACAATTTATAGTGTGTTAGAGAATCACTTGACTAGCTGGGAGCTCGGGCTTCCATGCAGAGTTCAACAAATTGCAATGTGTTAACAGCTGAAGGAGACAGCTGTCTTCCAGCAGCCCAGCTAGCTCTTCGTGCAGCCGCTCAAACCTTCTGCATGGGAATGCTGGAAGCGCAGGATGAAGCAGCAGAGGGGTCAGTAAGAGCCATGTCTGATGAGTACAGGAGCATGAGGCAACATTCAGCCTCCACAGATGGACAAGCAGGGACAGCCTCCCCCAGACTCTTCACTGCAGACTCTTCACAGCCACGAGACACAGCCATGAGGCTGCTTCTGCAGGCTGCAGTTCTGCATGGATGTAGTAGTTCCCAGGAGAAGGCACAGAGAAGGAAATCCCACCTTGATGTACTCCAGATATTTTGTCATTATTACAAGGAAAGGAAAGTAGGTTGCAATTTTTGCATTTATTAAACTCTTGGGAAAACAGGTTCCTTATATTTAAGCATTTAGTCAATGTAGTACAATTGTTATCTAACATGAATGAACAGACTGGTTTAGACAAACCATTTCCTAATTAGGAAATATGCTTTCCAACCGTCTGTTTTTGGAACAGAGTTCGAGGTCAGGGGGTTTGCTCAAACTAATGCAGAGAATGAAATGCCAAAAATCACTTGGGGGAGGGGGGAGGAGGGAGCAGGAAAGGCTACATTTCTGAGCTTGGTGGACTCTAATGAAAACCATATTTAGTAATACAGCACAAAAAGCTGAAAAATCAAAACTGAATCATTCAGGCAGTAACTCTGCTTCCAAGGAGCAAGTTACAGCTCAGGACTGCCATGACGTGCAGTAGTAACATCCTCCAGCAGCCAAAGTCACTCAGCACTGCAGAATAAAGGAAAATATTCTCCCCAGCAATTAATACAGCATTTAGCCTCTTACTTCTACCTGCTTTACACTGAGAGACAACCAATCACGTCCCCAGCCTCCATATCATGTTATCAGAAGAACAACTCCAGCCACAAAAGGAATGCTGGGTATAGCATGATCTTTAATAAAATGTTTGGCATTTTGCAGAACATTGTTTCATATATATCAAGACAGCAACAAATACACATGCATCCTCTTTGTGTTAGATTAGATACTGCTATTTTGCATCTTCCAGCTCTTCTTACAGTCACATTCCAAAACACTCATGTCAGTTTAAGCTGATTTAAGAGCACCGAAGCAAAGCTGCTAAGAAATCACTACACAGTGTTCAAATTCACCCCTTCAGGAACCCTGTTCTGTCCAAAAGTAACTCCCCAGGGGCACATGGGTTCACTTAAATTCCAGCTGTACCATGACATAGTCTGTCTTTATATTACTATTGGAGTGTTGGTGGAATTGGCAAAATCATCAGATCCATTTCCATTTCAAAAGTGCTATAAAATAAATACAACTCAGCGTAGACTTTAAAAGCATTTTACCAATTTAATTCTAGTAAGTAATGTCTAAGCAAACTGCAGCACAGCAGTACATCCTCCTGAATATCTTCTATTTGACATTACTTAAAGTCATCCAGAAAAACATAAATCACACTCTTTGTTCATTGCCACTTACCCTGACAGTGCTTGGCTGGGGATAGCAGCTCTGGGATGGTGCACTGTGTATCCAAAAGCATCAGGGTTATATAGCCCCTTCAGCTCTTCTCCTCCCACCAGCCTCCCAAACAAGGAACAGAGATGAGAGAGACAGAGCTGAAGTCTCTAACAAAACCATATAGGGACCTTATTACAAAAACCTCTAATCTGGGTGGCCACAGGCCCTGAGTCCCTTCCACTGCATTCCAATGCAGAGCTCATGAAACAGGAGGAGACTTTCAGCTGTATAAGATAAACACTGCAGAACTTTAGGAGACTTGCTAAAATGCAGCAAGAAAAGCATGCCCGTGACTGATGCCCTCTGACAGGAAGAGCACACGTTTGAACAAGATAGGGAGGTCCAGGCTTCCACAGGAACATCCAAGAGGTAGAGCAAAAACTGACAGAGCAGACATTTGTGACAGGGAAGGTGTTTTTAAGGAGACACTTCGCTTTTGTTAAAGCTTTGAAAAGCTTTGAATCAAAGCAATGAGAATACTTTCAGCAAGTTAACAGCTGCTGAATTTTGCCACAAATTCACTTTAAAAGGTTCACACTTAGGGATACTGAAAGAAGAACCTGCTGTTGCACAGGGTTCATGGTAGGGTCTTTGAAGGCTATGTAAATGTTCTGCTCACAGATTGTTTTTGTGCCCCTTAGCATGTGATGGGTGAGAATCAATATCCTGTCTCCATCAGCTTACTTCCAAAGTACTAGGAACTGTGGACAAGCTTCATCCTAGTGTCAGTTCCACTGATGGACAGAAGTTGTAAATTCCTATCTCAAAACACTCATAATAAAGTTGTTGAATTTCATAACCTCCAGCTAGGTTTGTCGCTGAGCGTATTTTTAGCAACTAAAGCAAAGGTTCTCAATCTACGAGCTATTTTCAGAGGACTGGATTTCTATGGCTGCAGCCAGCTGTTCTCTAGGCAGACTGTGTCTCACGAGCAGCCCCTTTCACAGTCAAAAATACACTGCCTTTGAATTATTACTAGAGATCAGAAATTAGCATCCCTAAACGCTATCACTGAAGTACTACAAATTCAAAAATGGCCTATGCACATAAGCCAAGAAAGACACAAGAATCCAAATGAGATCCTTCCTTTGTGAGTCTTGTTGCAACAGGGAGCAGCACCATGTGTTTGCTTACAGAGTGCTGCCTAATCGAGTAGTCTTAATGCTAGAGATCTCCCATACAACCACACTGAGATTTCTTCTGCTACAGAGATTTGAGTACAAGGCAACATGTAAAGACAGCAGATAGGAAGAATTATGGACTGAAGACCAAAAGGAATTTAACTTTTAAGGAAAGAAACTCCTAAGGAATGCAATTGCTTTTGAGGCACAGATACAGAGGCTAACAAGTGTTGGATCATGAGCCATGTGAAAGCTATTCTTAATTTCAACTTTTAGCACTTGGACACAAAAGATAATAGGTATTAAACAAATAACAACATAGAACCTACAGAGTTAAGCAATCTATTGCAGAGGATATAGAGAAATATACCTTCTTGCATACCTTCAACAGGCCCTTAAACAACAGCCAAAAAGAAATATTTCTTTTCAAACAACATTCAAAACATAGCAGATGGAAATTATGTACTTTTCATATAGCTACATTATCAGCAAATCAGATCAAGGGGAAGAAGAATTTTTACGCAGCAAAACCCTTTAATGCAGTAACATGTCTGATTTTGAGACAAGCATTAATTAATAGAGGATGTATAATCCAAGACTTATAGATCCAGAAGAATCCAAATTAAGGTGAAGAATTAAATGACTGAAGGTTCACTCATCCAAAAAAAAAAAACCACCAAACAACCTTACTGATGCTGTATTGGGTACAGCATGTATGAGATTACAAAGCCAAGTAAATGCTCCTTCAGCAGGACTCCAATCAATTCACACAACATTTCTGCATAGCTAGAAATAGAGGCAACAGTTTTCTGCAGGAGACCTTTGTAGACACCATGGGAGGCAGGGGCCATGCAGATATTACAATGTTTCTTCTCTCTGTTAAACTTCATGGTATTCTGAGCAGCTCAGCCTGGTGCATATCCCAATACCAGCTGGGGCAATGGCTGCTCCGAGGAGTAGTTGTTTGGGTGGGGAGCATACGTCACTTCGAACTACATTGCATGTCATAGGCATCAAAGATTTGGGAGTTCCAACTTTCAGGGTGCTTGTGAAAGATACAGATGACATAGAAGATGACCCTGAGAAAGCAGTTGTTGATATGACCAAAAGTAGGATACACAGTGTTTGGAGGGACTATTTCCAGAGCATCTGCTAGAGTTAGGACTGTGCAGACTGGAACGGGGAAGTAAGCCCAGAGACTGACTTAGCAGCAGCTGTCGATACACAGAAGCAGCACAGCAAAACTCTGAAGATGCAGAACAACCATGCCTCCAGCACACAAAGGAGAGCCAGTGCTTTGCAGACAGCTCGTCTCTGGGGTGTTACACTATGGAAGGTCCCAGGACAGGAAGGAAGGCAGGCAAACAGGTAAACTATGCAAGGAAATGAGCTCAGTACAGCTAAGGGACATTACAAAATGCAGGCATTTCTTCTCTTTATAGTGATTCCATTGCTTAAGATATGATCACAGATATTGCTAAATAAAAACACATGGGGAAAAAATGGCATTAATAGTTTATACCTTTCTTCTCAGCAACATAGGTCATTGCCAGAGGGGTGGGAAAGGGGAAGTGAATATATATGGCATGAGACAGGAATAAGAACCTAAATAGAACAGGGCAGAACAAGTATTCTGAGAACCAAACCTAAATGTTGGGGATAAAATCTCTGAACTTTCCTCTATGGCTACAGACACATACCGGCTTAGCCCAGTCTGTTCTGTTCTCCAGAAAAAGAACAAATACCAAAATTCCACTCCTGAAAGCAGCCAAACTCCCCCTGTGGAGGCCACTTCCATCACCACTTTTTGTTCTCTACTTTTAAGTACTTATGGTGCTCATTTGTATGGAAACCACCAAGTGCAATTTGCCTGGTGTTTATACCCCAAGACTCCACTTCTTTCACATCTTTCTGGCATCCATTGCTGTTTTCATGCTATTTATCTGTCCAAAATGTTGTCCATCAGAGGAGTATGTCTGGAATACGATGAGAGAAAGAAAAATAAATAGAAAAAGCAATTCTCTTGCTTTTTTTCCAATATACTTTCCCCTGATCTTTTTATAGTACTACTAGCAAAGCTCCCATGTACAATGGCAACTTCTTTATTAACCATCTTTCAAGGTCTCAGTGGAAACTCTTAGCTACATTTCACAAGACAAGTTCTTTGTTTTTCTGTAACTTGTGCATATTTTCATCTGAACAGAAAATATGCTTTGGACTGCATGCTAACAGGAGCTATATGGCTCTGCCTAGGGAACAGACTTTGACTGTCCCAAGGAATGCAGGCTCAAAGGCCATGCACTAGTGTGTAGATGTCATACTTTTTTGGTAAAGAAGGGCAGAAGCTGTAGTTTTATCACAACTGCTACAGAAAACTGGGAAAAAAGTAACTCCTTTACTCATAACATTACAACTCATTACTTTATAAGGGAAAACAGCTTCTCACATGTGCATGAAGACCTTCCTGCTTAGATCTAATTGGCTGCTTAGGAATGAGACTCTGCTAAATATGTCTCTGGCTCCTTTTTATTTGGGGATTCCTTTCATCTTCTCGGCATTAGCAGAATCCCAAAATGTTTCTGTTTGTCTGGCTTCAGGCCCTCTCTTCTATCTCACTGATAGGCTTTACACTTTTCTTCTTCCCCTACCCTCTTAAGAATGACAGGAATAATGAAGCTTTAGGGAGCAGAAAGTCCTAATAACCTGATTCATTGCAGCTGTCATGCAGTGCACAGCTGTAAAGCATCAGAGCAATCGTTACCTGTCAGATACACAGACTGGCTTGCTCTACCACTGTCGGACTCTAACATCTTATGACAAAACAGCTCGAATCATTCTCAAGACAGTAAAACATGGCAGTTTTCAATCTGCAATGTTTAGAAAATAGTTTTGTCAGTGCTGTTTGAGAGCTAAAGAATAGTGTTTGCCTGCAGGGTGGGGTGATGAGCATTTTAATTCACAGTTTCCCTTCATCTTCTTAACAAGGATCTTCCTCCATAATAACATGAAGTAAAGTTGCCCTTCATTCAAAAATCAAAGGAAAATACTCAAAGTAAAAACGAGCTAATAGCTCCCTCCCCATCCTTCTTTGATGAATAAACAGTATGTAGGAATGAGTCCTGCTGCATCAGGCTGATAACACGTCTTTGCAATTTCCTTCCATCTTAAGCAAATTCTTATGACAGGGGACAGTGATAATTTTCTTCCTATACCCTTCCAGCTTTCTTGTGAGCAGTAGAAGGATTTCTTGAGACAGGATTTTGTATCAATATCATCATGTATAATAGATGCTGACAGATTCTTTTCCTCCAAAAATTTGCTTGATTTAAACACAGTTTTGGAGATACATCATTCTCCATGATTTGCTCTGGAAATAAGCCCTGCATTTCATCTGCAAGACACCACCCACAGCTCAAATTGCAGCTGAAGTGGACATCGCTCATGTCAGAAAGAAAACATCAGTATATGAGAAGTACAGTCAAAGGAATGCTGTCTCCATACCAAGAGCTGCAAATCCAGCAGAGATCCTGGATCAGTACTCGGGCCACTAGCCAAGGCTGAGCTCTGCCCTATTGTTCCTTAATACAGCAGCTACTCAGTAGCTAGTCCACAGTTCATGAAGACTGATCTGCCCTAAATGACACTGCATACAAGGGTTCCAGATAACATTACATCAACATGTTTCCTAAGAGTCATGAGAGAACAGATTCCCCCAGAATCAGAACTACTCTGATAATACAGTCTAAACTTGCCCAAATACAAATGACATCTTCCTACTGCATTACTTTGAAAAACAAGCACTGTACTTGTAAGAAACTCAGAACACATGACATTTGTACATGGGCAGGCAGGAAGCAGGGGTCCTTCCTCCTCTCTTCTTTCACGTATGTTCTTAGCTCCTTAATCAACATATTCCTGTACTGGCAGCAATA